TTGAGTGGTCCTCCTGCTTCAGCCTCCTGAGTAGCTGGGCCTACAGGTGCACACCACCATGCCTGGCTAATTTTTAAATTTTTTTGGTAGTGACTGCATCTTGCTGTGTTGCCCAGGATTGTGTTGTACTCCTGGCTTCAAGAGGTCCTTCCACCTTGGCCTTGTAAAGTGCTGGGATTATAAGTGTGAACATCATGCCCAGCCTGTTTTACTTTTCTCTGGAAATAATGTTGGACTAAAGACAATCACATATCTTTATGTCTCTGGCTAGGGAGAGAGAAACCATTGAAAAATGGCTTAAATATTTGGTTGTTTACTTAGTGTGCTGTTTGGCAGGTAGCATAATAGAGCTTTGAACAGCACGTTTCTCCAAAGATCTTATAAAGTGGAGTGGACATGTTAATACCTGTAATAAATATAAAAAATTAGAAAAAAAATTATCCCTGTTTGTTTTTCTGTTTTTATATTTCTTAACAGGGAATATCTTGGAGTTTGAAAAATTGTGTTTAAAATGCTTAATACCAGTTTTAAGTAAATGCACTGACAGATGGCTACCTAGACCTTGTTTCATACCTGATTTTGCCACAGCCCCTTTCAGATTAGAGAACACCAATAAGAATATATTTTTCTTTTGTAAATACCACCATATCAGATCATTACTGTTCCCGTATATCACCAAACAGTGGAACTGCCATTTTCATAACACAGGGGAACACACAGCTTTCTGTGGTTGTAGGTTTCCTTCTCTTTAGTTTGTACGATTTCTTCAGACCAGGCCATTTCATACTGTGCTTTGGGAGCCCTCTCATTCTCATTTCTTTGTGTTGAGGAAAATAGGAATAAGGAATTTGTTGCCTGCTCCCGAAATTCTGATCAGAAAAGGATTCTAAAGGTTTTATTTGGAAGGAAATTAGAACCAGACTTTGTACTTCCTCCTCTTTCTCAAATCAGATAATACTCGCTCATTATTCCTTGACCCCACCCCTCATGTAGATGTACCAAGACACATCACCCTTTTTTTCCTTCATAGCAATTTATCACAAGCTGATATATTTCTTTGCTTATTTATTGTTCTATTTCTATTAAAGTGTATCCAGAAAAACAGGAATCCTGTCAGTTTTTCATATCTTGCTTTACCTTTCATATCTCTGGCTCCTGGCACATGGGAGATGCTTTGATATTGTGAATGAATTAGTGAACAAGTGAATGAGTAAACCAAGTTCTTTCATGCATTAAACGGAACTCCATGTAGTAAAGGTTGTGTTTGAACCTGGATCTTTATGCATTGCCCCAACTCACCCCCTGCCCCCAATTATTTTTTCTGGAAATGTGTTATCATTGTGTTTGCTGATCACGGTAAAGGTCCCTACCTTTAGAAGACCTTGTATTTATCTTTTATCTTTGTTTTACTTCTTTTTTTTTTTTTTTTTTTTTTTTTTTGAGATGGTATTTCACTGTTGTGGCCCAGGCTGGAGTGCAATGGCGCCTGCCATCTTGGCTCATCGCAACCTCTGCCTCCCAGCTTCAAGTGATTCTCCTGCTTCAGTCTCCTGAGTAGCTGGGATTACAGGCATGTGCCACCATCCCATGCCCAGTTAATTTTTTGTATTTTTAGTAGAGGTGGGGTTGGTCAGGCTTCATGTTGGTCAGGCTGGTCTCGAACTGCCAACCTCAGGTGATCCGCTTGCCTCAGCCTCCTAAAGTGCTGAGATTACAGGCATGAGCTACCATGCTCAGCCTGCTTCATATGTTTTTATCTTCTAGTTTTTTGCCTTTATAAAAACTAACATATAAGACTTCTGAAGTTCTTCTCGTAGCAACTTTATAATACTTTATGTGAATACAGTTTATTTGAAACTTTAAGAAGCAACTTAATAATTTAGTGAATAGTTCAAATTAGGCATCTTCAGGATGATTGTCCTAAACTGCCATTTCTATTTTCTAGTTACATCCTTTTAAAGCAAAAAAGAACAAAGCTTCATTTAATACAATTTATTCCGTATTTACAAACACGGTCTTTCTAGTGGAAGTAAGGGAGGTAGTGTGGTGTAGAGAAAACCCTAGACAGTGAGTCAGGACCTGTATTCTGGACCAGTAGGATTTCTCCTGTTAACTGGTTAATTTTTAGGCAGACATTTAACATCTCTGAGCTTCTGTTTCTTCATCTGAAATGTGAGGGAAATAGATTAGTTTTCTTCTCAGATTCTTCCAGCCCAGAAAAGGATAATTGAAGATACTTTAATTTACCTCCAAATTTCTATCCTCTGCCACTTTACCCCAAAAATCATTGCAGGGAGGTCACATTGCTGCATGGGAGAAGGTGGGGTTACATTCAGGGATTTGTTTTAAAGTAAACATGAGGCATTTCTCAGTGATTGTTGATTGCTCACCAGGCTTTGTGGGGGATGTGGCAGCAGTGTAAGGCATGTTGTTCTTGCCCATAAGGGACCTGGGACTTAAGGAGACATGGCTTACACAGACGCTTGGATGATGTGATGTATAAAACTAATTGGTATAAAGTAACATGCTGTGGGCATTAGAAGATAAGTGTGATGTAGGATAGGGTAAGGAGGTTTTGAAATCCTTCTATCCGAGGTAGCATTTAAACAGATATTTTCCTAGTCTCTTTTCAGGTTACTTGGAAGATGAACTGTTCTCATCAGCGTCATGCTATTATGTCATCTTTTAGGACTGGGTATTGCTTCAGTAACTTAATCCAGTGAAATTTTCATGTTGTCCACAAATCCTGAGTAGAAACTTTTTCAAGCCTGTAGCCTCTCTGAGAGCTGACTGTATCTAATAGAATGAGAGGATGTCAGGAAACATGTAAAGAAACATGCTGGGTAAATAAAAATATCACGTAAATGTAAGATATAACTATTACTGTCGTATGAAGCAGAGAGAAGACTGGCTGGATTAGAGGAGATATTTTTGCGACTAATGAGAAATAAATTTGGTCTTTGGAGACTTGGTTGTGGAGGCCCATGAGAGCTAATCAGGAGTTTTATTTGCGTCTGTGAAGACATTTCTTATATTACCTAACATTACTCAGATTATCAAGAATTAGTAGCATTGTTGCATATGTGCCTGACACTAATAATAAAGATTAATATTTATTGAGTAGTATGAGATGTCAGTTATTCTTTACCAGTATTAAATAGGTATTGTTGTCCCCATTATATAAGCAAGGATAATAGGCTTAGGGAGATAAAATAACTTTTTCAAGGTTTTAAAGATAGAATATATAATTTCATATAGAAAATGATAGAGAGTATCTTGTGGCTGGAGGTAGGATAGGAATGGGAGTGCAACATTTTGAAGAGTTGATATTTGAGCTAAGTACTAAAGGATGAAAAGGAACAGGTTGTAGGGAAAGTATTCCAAGCCAGGGAGTAGCAATTGTATAAACCTTGAGGTCAGAAAGAATTTGATGTGTTTTCCCTAGTGTGGCTATAGCATGGTGAGCAAGAGGGAAGTGGTATGAGATTAGGACAGAGAGAAATGGGTAGAAGTCAGGTTATGTAGGGCTTGTGCATGTCATAAAGGTTGGTACTGAGTTTGCATGTTAGATTCTGAGTGCGGTGTGAAACTGTTGAAAGGTTTTTAAGCAGGAGAATGATATGCTTATGTGTGTGTTTGTGTGGTAAAAAATACATAATCTAAAATTTATCATTTTAGCATTTAAGTTTACAGTTCAGTGACATTAAGTACATTCACATCATTGTGCAACCATCACTACCATCCATCTCCAGAACTTTTTCATCATCCCCAACCGAAACTCTATATCCATTAGATCATAACTTTCCATTCTCTTCTTCCATGTTGTAACATATATCAGAATATCTTTCTTCTTTAGGGATAAATAATACTCCATTGTATGTAGATACCACATTTTATTTATCTGTTTATCTATTGAGGGACACTGGGGTTATTTCCACCGTTTGGCTATTATGAATAATGCTGCAGTGACCATTGGCAAACACATATCCCGTTGGGTTCCTGCTTTTATTTCTTTTGTGTATATATCCAGAAGTTCAATTCCAGATTATATGATAATCCTATGTTAAGTTTTTGAGGAAATGTCATACTGTCTTCCCCAGCAGCCACACCATTTTATGTGCCCACCAGCAGAGCAGAAGAGTTTCAGTTTGTTCACATCCTTGCCAACACTTGTTGTTTTCTGTTTTTTTTTTTTTTTTTTTTTTATAACTATCCTGATGGATGTGAAGTGATATTTCATAGTGGTTTTAATTTACATTTCCCTGTGATTAATGAGGTTGAGCTTTTTTTTTTTTTTTGAGGTGGAGTCTCGGTTTGTCACCCAGGCTGGAGTGCAGTGGCACAATCTTGGCTCACTACAACTCCGCCTCCTGGGTTCAAGCGATTCTCCTGCCTCAGCCTCCTGAGTAGCTGGGATTACAGGTGTCTGCCACCATGCCCGGCTAATTTTTGCATTTTTAGTAGAGATGGGGTTTCCATCATGTTGTCCAGGCTGGTCTTGAACTCCTGACCTCAGGTGATCCGCCCACCTTGGCCTCCCAAAGTGCTGAGATTACAGGCTTAAGCCAATGCATCCAGTCTTCTTTCCTTCTTTCTAACTTTCATTTTGATGTTTTTTTTTTCTTTTTTCTTTTTGAAGAATAGCTTTTAGGCATTTAGGTTGGTGACATGCATTTGAATAGACTGAGATCTCCTATATATCTCATTATTAATGTCCATGGTTTTAGTTACAAGTGAGAAACCATTTGAAGAGTTTTATGACCATGGTTGCATTTTTTTCAGGTATTTTCAATGAATTGACATTTATTTCTAGGTTAAACTTTGAAAAGATACATAAACGAGACAGGTAAAAGACTAGAAAGCTTACTTAGTGGTGGAGAAAGTTGTCAAATATATGATACAGTTCCAAATCAAAATTATAGAATATTTGCCTTATTGTCGTCTGCTCTGTTACTGATACAGATTAAGACTAATACTGTTTTTCTTCTTAATTTTACAGAGTTAATAGAGTGGATACAACCTTGCTGAAGATGAAGAATATACAATATTGAGATTTTTTTCTTTTTTCTTTCAAATCCTGATTGTTTTGTGGCTTGCATCAAGTTACCACTTTTCAGTCAAGTCTGTTTGCTTCTTTAGAAATGTTTTTTACAATCTCAAGAAAAAATATGTCCCAGAAATTGAGTTTACTGTTGCTTGTATTTGGACTCATTTGGGGATTGATGTTACTGCACTATACTTTTCAACAACCAAGACATCAAAGCAGTGTCAAGTTACGTGAGCAAATACTAGACTTAAGCAAAAGATATGTTAAAGCTCTAGCAGAGGAAAATAAGAACACAGTGGATGTCGAGAATGGTGCTTCTATGGCAGGATATGGTAAGATAACCGGAGAATATTTCTAGTCTCCTCCTATCCCCATTTAAAGATGATTGTGGAAATTGAACTTACGACTTCATACATATGTCTTTGCAAAGTGATTTTTTTCTTGACTTTTTATTATGGAAATTTCAAATGTACTAAAAAATAGAGATACTATGATAAATACTTACATATTCATCATCCAGACTTAACAACAACAACAAAAAAGACCTTCTTGGACATAATACAACATCATTATCATACCTAGTTTATATTTAAATTTTCCTGATTATCCCATTGTAAGCCATTAATTGTTAAGCATTTATTAATTCCTAAGAAGCAGGATTTGCCTATATCTCCAGTATTGGTTATTGCTAATTGTTATTCTCCCTTTTACATTACTGGGTCCTGCTGTGTTTTAAGTTTCTTATGCTGTGCTCTTCCTTTCCTTTAAGGCAACATTTGTTTTAATTTAATTGTTGAGGAATATTTAAATTATGGAAATTGTGGCGTTTCACTGCTAGATATATATCACTTAAAAAAATGTATCTTGGAGGCTGGGTGCAGTGGCTCATGCCTTAATCCCAGCACTTTGGGAGGCCGAGGTGGGCAGTTCAGGAGGTCAGGAGATTGAGACCATCCTGCTAACACGGTGAAACCCTGTCTCTACTGAAAATAAAATAAATAAAAATTTGCTGGGTGTGGTGGCACATGTCTGTAGTCCCAGCTACTTGGGAGGCTGAGGCAGGCGAATTGCTAGGACCTGGGAGGCGGAGGTTGCAGTGAGCCAAGATTGTGCCACTGCACTCCAGCCTGGATGACAGAGCAAGTCTCTGTCTTAAAAAAATTAAACATGTATCGTGGCCTGGTATTGATGGCTCATGCCTATAATCTCAGTACTTTGTGGGGCTGAGGTGGGAGGATTGTTTGAGCCTAGGAGTTCGAGACTAGCCTAGGCAACATAGTGGGACCTCTACTAAAAATACAAACAAATCAGCCGGGTGTGGTGGCAGGCACCTGTAATCCCAATTACTCGGGAGACCAAGGCAGGAGAATTGCTTGAACCTGGGAGGCGGAGGTTGCGGTGAGCTGAGATCATGCCACTGTACTCCAACTTGGGCGACAGAGCAAGACTTCATCCAAAAAAAAAAAAAAAAAAAAATTAGCCAGGCATGGTGATATACACCTGTAGTCTTAGCTAGTTGTAAGGCTGAGGAGGGAGGATGACTTGAGCCCAGGAAGTCAAGGATACAGTGAACCATGTTTGCACCACTGTACTCCAGCCTAGGCAAGAGAGTGAGACCCCATCTCTTAAAAATATATGTCTTAAAAAAATGACCTTCTAAGGCTAGGTGTGGTGGCTCACGCCTGTAATCCCAGCACTTTGGGAGGCCGAGGCAGGGGCATCACCTGAGATCAAGAGTTTGAGACCAACCTGACCAACATGGACCAACCCCGTCTCTACTGAAAATACAAAAATGGGCTGGGCATGGTTTTGCATGCCTGTAATCCCAGCTACTCAGCAGGCTGAGGCAGGAGAATCACTTGAACCCAGGAGACAGAGGTTGCGGTTAGCCGAGATTGCACCATTGCATTCCAGCCTGGGCAACAAGAGTGAGAATTCGTTTCAAAAAAAAAAAAAGACCTTCTTGGACATAATAAAATACCATTATCATACTTATAAATATTTAAATTTTCCTGATTATCCCATTGTACGCCATCAATTGTATAGCATTTATTAATTCCTAAGCAGGATTTGCCTATATCTCCAGTATTGTTTATTGCTATTCTCCCTTTTACATTACTAGGTCCTGCTGTGTTTTAAGTTTCTTATGCTGTGTTCTTTCTTTCCTTTAAGACTTAAAATGAGAGAGAACAGATAGTATGGTTCTTTCTGGAACAATGTATATACATGAATGTGTGGACATTTTCTCTCTTTCAGTTTTGTTTGTTTAATTAAAAGTTATGGCTGGGGTGGCTCACACCTGTAATCCCAGCATTTTGGGAGGCTGAGGTAGGTAAATTGCTTGAATCTTGGAGTTTGAGACCAGCCTGGGAAACATGGTGAAACTATTTCTCTACAGAAAATAAAAAAGTTAGCTGGGTGTGGTGGTGTGCACTTGTACTTCCAGCTACTTGGGAGGTTCAGGTGGGACAACTGTTTGAGCCTGGGAGGTTGAGTCTGCAGTGAGGTGTGATCCTATGCCACTGCACTTAAGCCTGGGTGACAGAGTGAGACCCTGTCTGAAAAAAAAAATTATACATGCGTGTATTTAAATAATCAAAGTGTGTTATGATTCCTGTAATGAAAAAGGGCAGCTTTTCCCACTCCCAGAAGTCCTCAAATCTCCTGTTCTTTAGAGCCACCCATTTAAAATTTTCATTTCATTTTTTGGGTGATTATTTCTATATCTAAATGATATGCTCTGTGAAGTACTTTTCGATTTTTCAGTTTTAGGTGTTACCTATTAACTTCTCACTATGCAAGGTGAGAATTTAGCTTTTTTTTTTCACTTAAACATGCATTCCATCCAGCCCCCAGGCTGTTGTCACATCCATATACTTCTTGTCTGTCCATTTTTCCATCATAATTTTGTTTAGAATAATATTCAGTATACATACTATTACGACCATGTTAATAGTATTCATTATTGAGCCATATAAATGCATACCTCACAGATACTGTGGATTCTGTTCCAAACCACGCAATAAAGTGAGTATCACGATAAGCAAGTCACACAGGTCTTTTAGTTTTCCAGTGCATATAAAAGTTAACTTTACACAGTACAGTAATCTGATAAATGTGCAGTACCATTATGTCTTAAGCAATGTACATACATTAATTAAAAATACTTTATTGCTAAAATATGCCAACAATCATCTGAGCCTTTAGCAAGTCATAATCCTTTTGCTGGTGGAGGATCTTGCCTTGATGTCAAAGGTTGCTGACTGATCAGGGTGGTAGTTGCTGAAGGTTGGGGTGGCTGTGGCAATCTCATAAAATGAGACAACAATGAAGTTTGCCACATTGATGGACTCTTTTTTTCACGAAAGATTTTTTTTGTAGCATGGATTATTTTATAGTATTTTACCTGCAGTAGAACTTCTTTAAAAATTGGAGTCAATCCACTTAGACCCTACTGCTGCTTTATCAATAAAGTTTATATAATATTCTAAATCCTTTGTTGTCATTTCAGCAGTGTCCACAGCATCTTCAGTAGATTCCATCTCAAAAAACTACTTTCTTTGCTCTTCCTTAAGACTCAACTCCTCATCTATTCAAGTCCTATCATGAGAATGCAGCAATTCAGTCTCATTTTCAGGCTCCACTTCTAATTCTGTTGTTACTTCCTCCTTCCTCCACTGAAGTCTTGAATTCCTCAAAGTCATCCATGAGGGTTGGAATCACCTTCTAATTCATTCATTCATTCTGGTGAATGTTGACATTTTTCCTCCTTTTGTGAATCATGCATGTTATTAATGGTATCTAGAATGGTGAATCCTTTCCAGAAGGCTTTCAGTTTACTTTGTTCAGACCTGTCAGCTCTGGCCTTATGAAATGTATTTCTTAAATAATAATGACCTGAAAGTTCAAATGACTCTTTTATCCATGGGCAGGAGAATGGATGTTGTGTTAGCAGCCATGAAAACGTTTATCTCTTTGTATGTCATCTTCAGAGCTCTTGGGTGACTGGGCACACTGTCATTGAGCGGTAATATTTTGTAAGGAATCCTTTCTTCTGAACAGTGGGTCTCAACAGTAGGTCTCAGTGGGCTTAAAATGTTTAGTAACTCATTCTTTAAACATGTTATCATCCAGGCTTTGTTGTTCCATTTATAGAGCACAGGCAGAATAGATTTAGCATAATTCATAAGGGCTCTAGGATTTTCAACATGGTAAACGAGCATTGGCTTCAACGTTAAGTCACCAGCTGCATTACCCCCTAATGAGAAAGTCGGCCTGTTCTTTGAAGCTTTGAAGCCAGACATTGACTTCTCCTCACTAGCTATGAAAATCCTAGGTGGCATCTTCCTATAGAAGACTGTTTTGTCTACATTGAACATTTGTTATTTAGTGCAGCTACCTTCAACAGTTATCTTAGCTAGGTCTTCGAGGTAATTTGTGGCAACTTCTCCATTAACATTTGCCGCTTCACCTTGCACTTGAATCTTATGGAGATGGCCTTTTTTTTTTTTTTTTTTTTTTTTTTTAGACAGAGTTTCGCTCTTGTTACCCAGGCTGGAGTGCAATGGCGCGATCTCGGCTCACCGCAACCTCCGCCTCCTGGGTTCAGGCAATTCTCCTGCCTCAGCCTCCTGAGTCGCTGGGATTACAGGCACGCGCCACCATGCCCAGCTAATTTTTTGTAGTTTTTAGTAGAGACGGGGTTTCACCATGTTGACCAGGATGGTCTCGATCTCTTGACCTTGTGATCCACCCGCCTTGGCCTCCCAAAGTGTTGGGATTACAGGCGTGAGCCACCGCGCCTGGCTCCTTTTTTTTTTTTTTATTGCATTTTAGGTTTTGGGATACATGTGAAGAACATGCAAAATTGTTGCATAGGTACACACATGGCAGTGTGATTTGCTGCCCTCCTCCCCTTCACCTATATCTGGCATTTCTCCCATGCTATCTCTCCCCAACTCCCCACCCCCCACTGTCCCTCCCCTATTTTCCCCCAACAGACCCCAGTGTGTGATGCTCCCCTCCCTGTTTCCATGTGTTCTCATTGTTCAACACCCGCTTATGAGTGAGAAAATGCGGTGTTTGATTTTCTGTTCTTGTGTCAGTTTGCTGAGAATGATGGTTTCCAGGTTCATCCATGTCCCTACAAAGGACACGAACTCATCGTTTTTGATGGCTATGTAACATTCCATGGTGTATATGCGCCACATTTTCCCTGTCCAGTCTATCATCGTTGGGCATTTGAGTTGGTTCCAGGTCTTTGCTATTGTAAACAGTGCTGCAATAAACATTCATGTGCATGTGTCCTTATAGTAGAACGATTTATAATCCT